CGGGGTGCGGAACAACTTGGTAACACTAAAAAATTAAATTTTGAGTTGTATAAGATATCCACTTATGTTGTGTGGGTGAACATTATCAAAGAATGAGAATGCGGGGTAACTTGGGAGGAATGAAAATGACTATACTTGTAGACACCGGCAAGTACACATAATTTTTATGGATTTAGGATTTGCCAAAAAAATAGGTGTGAATTAATTAAAATATCACTTATAATAGTGAAGATGGCAAATGAAGGAGACTTTGTATGTGAGTATGTTTGCAAGAAGCTCTAATGGAAATGTAGGGAAAGGAGTTTGAAACCACGAGTATTGGTGATGCCTCCGGAAGTGTACGAAGTGATTTTGGGCTTTGCATGGTTATATGAACTGGGGGACATTTCTTAAAATTTTGAAGATATGTGTATGAGGTTTGTGGTAGATGGGGAATCATTCACATTAAGAGGGAAAAATGCCAAGTTAATAAAAAGTCAAGAAGAAGTAGAGGTTGATATGGCAATTTGTAAATAGCAACAATTAAGTCTGGATACGGATTCATTAGTTGGGTAATGACGGGTGGGATAAAGAGGTTTTTGTGTTGGAATTAAATAACAAGGTTTCAAAAGTATTGGTGGCGATATTGGAGACATTCAAAAGAGTATTTGAAGAGCCTAAAGGGTTACCACCCCATAGGTTAAATGATCATAGAATAGTGTCGAAGGAAGAAGCTAAACCGGTAAATACCAAACCTTATAGGGGTGAGCAAACGGTTCGGTTAACCAAAAACCGAATAAAAACGAACCGAATTATAAAATTTGATTCGGTTTTAAATATAAAATTATACAATATAAAACCGAATCGAAAAATTGAAATTATTTTGTTCGGTTCGGTTTTTAGAAAAAATATTCGGTTTCAACCGAAAACCGAAATAAATAGTAAAAAATTTCCTAATTTCTAAATCCCTAACTTTTCAATCTTCATTCTTGTTGAAACCGAAACACGCAGATGGGAAGTAAATTTTGAGGACCGTTGGGGTAAGAAAAGAAAGTGACATAATGTAATTAATTGGGATATATCATGTTTGAATGAGTAAATTTATTACACTTGGACTTGTTTTCATTAAAGCTTAATTAAAATCTTCAAGGGCTTTATGATTGTTTATAAAAAGGATTAATTGATAACAAGATGTTACTTCATTGGCTAGTGGACTAAGTGCTAGTACAAAATATCTCTTTGTAATGATTTTTTTTTACAACAAAATATTTTGGTTAAAATCGAAATATTTCGAAACCAAACCGAAATAATTCGGTTACAAACCGAATTTGCCGAATTTATTTCGATTTGGTTTTGGTTTTTATTTTTTTTAATTAGGTTAACCAAAAACAGAATCGAATCGTACAAAACCGAACTCGTTTAACCGAATGCTCACCCCTAAAACCTTATAGGTATCATGCTCGTTCAAAAGGATGAAATAGAGAAGTAGGTTCAGCTAATATTGGAGGCTAGGATAATCGGAACCGGTATAAGTCTTTTCTCTTCTCCCGTGGTGATGGTAAAAAAGAAGGACAATTCTTGGAGGTTGTGTGTGTATTATAGGAAGCTTAAAAATTTGACTTTTAAGGATCACTTTCCAATTCCCATCATTGAAAAACTCCTAGATGAATTACATGGTTATGTGGTTTTTTCAAAACTTGATCTTAGAGTTGGTTACCACCAAATTAGGATGAACAGAATCGATATTCTAAAAATAGCATTCCGTACCCACAAGTGGGCATTATGAGTAATTGGTTATGCTTTTTTGTTTAACTAATGCTCCTAGTACTTTTCAAGCACTCATGAATGATATTTTTAGACCATATCTTAGGAAATTCATTCTAGTTTTCTTTGATTGCATCTTAATATATATCAAAACCATTCATAGGTATCAACAACATTTTAAAATTGTATTGAGCATTTTACAAGAAAACTCCTTATTAGCTAAAGAATCCAAATATACCTTTGACACTCCAAAAGTGAAATACATAGGACATTACATTTCCGAACAAGGGATGAAAACTGATCCTAGCAAAATTGAAGTGGTTCAATAGTGGCCTAGAGCTAAAAATCTCAAACAAGTTGAGAGGTTTCTTAGGTCTCATTGGATATTACGAAGGTTTGTGAAGAGGTATGGAAGAATTGCCAAGGAACTAATAGATTGGTCAGAAGGAAGCTTTTGGATGGAATCTTGTAGCTAAGTTAGCCTTTGAAGAATTAAAGTTGGTAATGACCATAACTCTAGTGCCGACACTCGCTAAATTGGGAAGAAGAGTTCACAATAGAGACCGATGCATCCGACAATGGAATTGGAGCGAGTGTTAATACGGAAAAGATATCTCATTTCCTTTATTAGTAAGCTTTTATCTCCTAAGCATCAAACTCTATCAGTATATGAGAAGAAATTAATTGCCATTCTCTTTCGTTGTCAAGAAGTGGCACTAATACTTGATGCATAAACATTTCATCGTTCGGATCTGGTCATCAAAGTTTGAAACATCTCTTAGAACAAACAAGTGCACACTAAATGTCGGTTTACTTGGTTAGTGGAATTAATGAGGTATGACTATGATATTGTGTATAAAAAGGGTAAGGATAATCAAAGTGGTAGATGCATTATCGAAGGTGCGGTTTTCTATGTTGGCAATGTCTTTAATATTCATTGATTTGTTGGATAGGATCAAGTAGTCATGGGAAGAAGATTCCGTGTTAAAAACACTCATAACACGGTTGCAAACTACGGGAGCAAGTCAATCTAAGTTTGAATGGAAGAACTCTCAACTGCAAAGGAAAGGGAAATTGATGGTGGGAAGAGATTCCGAGTTACATAGGGAACTCATTTTAGTGTGTCATGATTCCTATTTAGATGGTCATTCTAAAGTTAAAGGCATTGTCAAAAAGTGTAGCTTCATTGTTTTATTGGAAAGGGTTATGAAAGGAAGTAAGGGAATATGTCGGACAATGTAAAACTTGTAAGGAGTGCAAATATGAGAATGTAACCTACCCCGGTTTATTGACCCCATTGCTTTTACCTACGGTTATTTTTACTAATATCTCAATAGATTTCATTGATGGATTGCCTACTTCTTATGAAAAATTAGTGGTATTTGTAATGGTTGACGAGTTGATCAAATGTGCACACTTTATAGCTTTAGCTCATCCATTCATAGCCTACATAGTAGCTCGAAGCATTCATGGAGCATGTGTTTAAATTGTATGGTCTACCGAACACTATTTTTTTAGACATGGATTCTATTTTTCTCAACTGATTTTGGAAAGAAATTTTCACATATCAAGGAGTTTCTTTGCATTTGTCTATAACTTACCATCCTCAAACCGATGGTCAAACCGAGGAGGTCAATAGGTATTTGCAAAGCTATCTTAGATGCATGTCTTCCGATCCGTCAAAAACTTGGGGAAAATGGTTATGTCCGGTAGAATTTTGGTACAACACTTCTTACCATTCGGTCATTCAACAATCTCCTTTTGAGGCTTTGTATGGGTATATACCCCTAATTCATCTTCCTTATCTTCCTAATGATTGTAAGGATCCTATTATGAACCAGCTTTTACAAGATAAAGAAGATGTGGTAGCATTGTTAAAGGGACTGCTACTTAAGGCTCAACATTGTATGAAAGTGCAAGAAGACAAGGTCTGAAAGAGTGTTTCAAATAGGAGATTAGGTCTACCTTAAGCTTCAAGCTTATGCAATATTCCGTTGTTTCAAGGAACGGTTAGAAGTTAGCTCCTAAGTATTATGACCCTTTTTTCAGATTGTGGAAAAAGTGGGGGAAGTGACTTATACAATTCAACTTCCTCTAAGGTCCTTAATCCATCTTACATTCCATGTTTCTCAGCTTAAACCTACTTATGGGAATGTGCTAGTGCAAACCTTTGACGAGTGGATGAGGATATTCAACTTGTGGCTACTCTAGACAAGAAATTGGTTAAGAGGGGTAATAGAGCTGAAACAAAGTTGTTAATTCATTGGTCTAATGGATTTGCAGCTGAAGCTACATGGGAATATGCATCTTAAGTGGCTAGATGTTTCCCTGAATTTGACCTTAAGGTCAAGGTCCTTTAAGAAGGGAGGTATTGTTATGCACACTTTTGGGGAGTTTGAAGATTGCCTAGCTGCTGGAAAAATATTGGGAAATAACTTGAAGATTGCCTAGAGGTTGCTGGGAAAATATGAAGACTTGCATGTGGAAAGCTTTAAGTGATCGCACGTGGGGAGTAGTTAGCCATTGAATCAATCCTATGCGGAAGTTAGTTAGCCATGTGTAATTAAGTTAATAATTTAGTTAGCAAGTTGTTAGAAAAACACTTAGTATAAATCAAAGAGCAACAAACAAGAAGATCCATTCTGTTTTGGCATTCAATCTTCTCTGGTTTCTCCTCTAATTTCCTCTGTAAAGCTTATTGTTTTCTCTTTGAATTCTGTAACTCCAACTCAATTTGATTCTAATAAACTGGTTTTGATTCTTGCATATACTGTTTTTGCATTAATTACATACTACATTTTCTTTTGAATCACCATAGAAACTTGTCAATTCGTCACTAGTTCTTGATTGTGAAATTGGAACGTATTATTAATCCAATGAAGCTCCATTTACATTCCATTTCAAAAAGCCAATAAGAGGACTAACCCAAATAGCTGCAGCTCACACTTGGCCAGATTAGACCACATCTTAATTATTGACTGTATAGATTTCCATCAGCGAGATCTAATATTCTTATTGTGAAATAATTCTTCACTTTGTAAACAGATTTCTCACTATTAATTAAAATGCACTGTAAGTATTTGATTCACAAGCAATATTTACCTGACATCAAATTTTTTTCTATCCTTTAGTGTTAAATAAGAAGTTACTAGATCAATACTTGAATGCAGTGTAAGTAAAAGAAAACTCAAAGCCTCGGAAAGAACAATGCGTATCATATATACCTCACGAACAATGTCTCTACCGCGTGATATTTGCTATATTCCTATCGATAGCTCTAGTAATACAACTCTAAGGCTATAGACATCACTCTTGTGTGTCAAAAAATATTCTGGATCAAGGTATCCCTGCATATTCAATACAAAACAAGAAAACTTACTAGTAATCTCTCCTGGAAGAGAATCCAAATTAGAAATATTTGATTCCATCTTCACTGTTTAAGTTTAAATTCTTTGGCCATGTAGACAAGTTAACCTTTTGAAATCATTTTAAAATTTTTTTGGACATAATCAATTTATGAGCACGTAATGGAGTGAAACTCACTGGAGTTCCCTTCACTACTGAATATACATGATTAGGTGGATATCCTTTATCATCCATGACAGGGGCAAGAAGGGAGAGTCCAAAGTCAGCAACTTTAGCAGTAAGCTTAGAGTCTAAAAGAATATTGTTGGCTTTGATATCTCGGTGAAATACTGGAGGGTCCGCTTCAGTATGGAGGTAAAGAATGCCCTTTGCTGCACCCAAGGCAATGCTTAACCTTGTTCCAAAGTTGAGATTTTCCTTCGCTGTAGCAACATACAACAGCAGCCATCAATTTTGAGGCTCCAATATATTGAAAGTTAAATGTTCTAAATCAAACAGTAATAAACAAATAGTAATTGGGAAAATTATAAAATCTCCTTCCAATATTAGCCCTCAGTAAGATGTAAACCACACCTTCTGCTGAACTCTGAACCTACCACACATTCCAGCATTTTATGGCATATGATTCTACGATCTAAAGGTTTGTAAAATTAATATAAGCTCTCTAAGAGAGTATCGCGTGTTGGAGATAGGAACCTGAACCAATGCTTTGATATCAATTTGTTGGGAATAAATTTCAGACACCACACAAAGATAACAAGAAGGAAATTACTTGGAGAGGGAGGAGACACAAGAATACTTGATAAAAGATACTTTGTTTATTAGAAACTTAACTCACTCTACTCTACATAACATCAAATCACTTATAACTATATTTAGAGATACTAGACATCCCTTAATTATTACACACGGAATACTAAACATTATATTAATGACACATCACACATAACTAGGTTCATGAATGTAATGACTACATTCATACTTATTTATTCATACTTAGCCATAATTAAGTTTACTTTCTAACATCCCCCTGTAAACTTAATTATCTACTGGTCATGACTTTTCAAAAATTACTTGGTCCACATCCAAGAGGAAAATCTCGAATAGCAAAAAATCTTCTTGGAACTCTAAAATTTACTCTATTAGAGCTCGATTCTCCGGATTCCATTTCTTCTAGTTTCTTCTTCGAGTTCTTGCATTTCTTGGACAATGTTATCATAATCTTGCCTCAAATCCTCATATACATCCCGCATCCGGCTCAAATCAAACTTTGTTTTATATAATTCTCTTTCATTAACATCCTTTATGATAATGTCATAGACACACTTCAAATGTCTTATCACATGCAAAGCTGCTTCATTTTCGGCATCTTTCTTGGTATATGCCTTGAATCCATATTGGGTATGTTTTCCCAATCTATCTTCAAACTCAACTTTAGCAATAAATTACGGAGAATGATCTTGCCCAAAATTTTCACACAAATAACTTGCCGGAGGCAAATTCAATTTTTTAAGTAATTCCTTCAAAAACATTTTGAATGGTGCTTGAAACAACAATAGGCACAATACACTTCATTTCTTCTTACGAGGTTCTCTTCTTGACCTCACTCTTGCTTTTAAAAGAACTCTTCACCAGTTCTTTACTTTTCTTATGGAGTCTAACTCTTAACTCATACCAACTCAACTGGTTCTCTTTTCAACAAACCCGGAGAAAAAATTCTTTAATTGTGTACTTCTACCATTTGTGCCTAATTCAACCTTTCTTAGTCTTACTAATAATCAACCAATGCTTCGCTACCACTTTGTTGGAGATAGGAACCTAAACCAATGCTTTGATACCAATTTGTTAGGGATAAATTTTAGGCGCCACACAAAGATAACAAGAAGGAAATTACTTGGAGAGGGAGGAGACACAAGAACACTTGATAAAAGACACTTTGTTTATTAGAAACTTAAGCGACTCCACTCTACATAACATCAAATCACTTATAACTATATATAGAGATACTAGACATCCCTTAATTATTACACACAGAATACTAAACATTATATGACACATCACACATAACTAGGTTCATGAATGCAATGATTGCATTCATACTTAGCCATAATTAAGTTTACTTTCCAACATCGCGAGAGATATAGAGTAGATAAAGAACGTAAAATTTAGGTGATTTTCATACCAGAATGCCAGTCCTATAAGGTACCATTCGGAATGAACTCGTATACTACCATCTATGCGTCAACAAAGAACACAAGTTTACAGATTTCACAAGTAACCAAGTCACACTTTGCAAAAATAGATGCTAAATCATATCAAATCCATTTAAATTGTTAGAAAAAAGGATTTACAAAACACTTTATAAGATGGTAGAACAAAACTTGATTAATGTGCAACAAGCAAAAAGAAAAACTTGGTTAGGAAAAAAACCTCTTAGAAATTTGAAACAAATAAATGCAATTTACTCCTAAGCATAATTGACATTCTAAATGAGCTATAGTATTGCTCATAAAATAATTAGCTGGATACATTCCAGGGACACTTCCATACATTCCCTTCTCATTTGACTTTCAAAAAAAAAAAGGATAGTAGAAAGTACTTCCCAAGAAAAGTATTACCTGCTCTCCTTCTTCAACACAATATCCAACCAAGGAAACTAGATTTCGATGATGTAACCTCGACAACAAATTGATCTCCATCAAAAATTCCTTTTCACCTTGTAAGGATCCCTCTTTAGCACGCTTTATAGCCACCATTGTTTTGTCAAGTAAAATGCCTATGTAAACCTTTCCATAACCCCCTTGAGGCCTTGAACTTGTGTTGATCTGTTAAAATTGTCAGTAGCCAAGACCATTTCTTTGAAAGTGAAGCTCTGCACACCATCAATTTTCATCTGCACCGTTAAGGCTGCAAATGAACAAAATAGTCACATTGACAAAAATGGTACAACCAAATATGGTAGTACTAACAGAAGCCAATACTTATTAGTCACAATGACAAACTTACATAAATATGATATTTTTGGTAGTTTTTGTTTTGGAGAAAAGCAGGAAATTTCATCTTTCTAACTTCTTTATATGATCCTAAATACTCGTGTTTGTTCACATATAAAAAACAAAGATTCGTGTTATGTACACATAAGGGCATAACAATTAGTTCAACATCATTTAGCTAAGAATTCAGCATTTCATTTTAACCAAGAAGAAGTAGCAACAGTACATACTCTGTGCATAAGGTCCAAATAGGGTGAAGTTGAGAAGCTCATATAGTCCGAAGAAGTCATTTGGAGGAAATCACCATGATGCAAATATATCTCTAATTTGTTGAACCTGAGTCACATTAAATACTGTTGACTGTGCAACAATAAGTGGAGGAAAGAGCTTCAAATACATCCTTAGACGAGGACCTTCTTCCCAAAATAAAGGAATCAATTGACAACTGATATAGTCTCATGTTAAGAGAATGAGTTACGTATTTCTCAAATTGATTAATGTGTGGAGTAAAATAAGAGAAGCTAGGACTCTTTTAAGACTCGAATATGATGAGTGTTGCATTGATTGCTTTAGCAGATCACTACAACTGAATAGGTTATTTTACTCCATGAAAATACTACCTCAGGGTGACATTATCCGGCATATTCAGTTCTCTTAAAATGCTTGAAGGTGAATTGTTCCTGAAATCACTGCATTTTTTCATGTGTGCAGAAGGAGAAGCTAGCAGTATTTTGCAGTTTGCAGAGTCTTGAATATAAAAGTTCATGCTCAGAGTTACCGATTTCATTTTATTTCTTCTTTCGATTCTTACAGTGTAAGGCCAGCACTTTTAGTGGAGGACATGTTCTGCCACATGTTAGTAGACACAAAACCGATCAACAAATTATTTCCAAGTGACCTTTAATAAAGTAACATTTAGAATATGAATGATGCTCTGAAGATACTACTTTGAACTATTTACTCCTAACTAAAGAAGAAAGACAAGCAGATAAACTCACAATTTCTGAAAAAAAGGAAGATTTGAAAAACTTCTGGGTATAGATCCATTAAGACGGTTATCTGACAGATCACTGCATCCAACAAGAATAAATTTCAAGTACAGGAATACCTTAACGAAAAACTAATTTGGTTATAAACAGGTTTTGAAATTAGAATAAATTCTACTTATAATTATTCACAATAAGAAGAAGATCAAATTGATAGAAATCTGTACAGTCAATAATTCACTAGTTTTATCTCCCTTTTTGAAGATAACAAACTACGCGTCTACTTTGAGTTACTTACATAGTGCTCATATTATCAGAAAGTGTTGGTGGTATGGGCCCGGTAAGCTCATTCCTGCTGAGATCCCTACAACAGGAACTCGATAACATTAACTGAAAGGCAACAATTGTGTCATAGTATGAAATTCAGATACAACTTACAAATATAATAGGTTCCGTATGCTGCTAAGACCGGGTATGGATCCTTGTAAGTTGTAATTTTTGAGACTTCTACCTCATCAGAGAGATAGAAGTCAGCAATTCTTTTAGTATCCAACAAAACTGCAAAACACATGAGACATCCCGGTACTATCAAGATTTACTAGCAAACCCAATACTCAACATTAGAATACAATAACTCGTCTAATGAGATATTTGAAAGGTACAATAAATTATGATCTATTATATCAAAAATATCATGTCATTATCTTACCTAGTGATTCATCATGTCATACTTGAAGGGTACAATGATGGTGATTGAAACATTTTATTTAGTAATTCATTATTTACCACTGGCTATGTTTTTACTTTAGGTGAAGGAGCTATATGTTGAAAATCTAAAAAGCAATCAATAATTACGAAATCCACTATGGAGACAAAATTGATAGCTCTAGCCTCGGCTAGTGATGAAACTGGTTGATTATGTGATCTTTTATATGAAATTCCTATGTGGGAAAAACCTATACCACTTGTCTTAATTCATTGTGATAGCACAACTGCTATTGGAACTATGTGCAATAGATATTATAATGAAAAATCCAAATATGTTAGAAGAAAAAAGGTACTTTGAGGTCATATATAAACAAAAATACCATAAATGTTGATTATATCAACACAAAGGATTATTTAGCTGATCCTTTTACAAAAGCTTTAGCCAAAGAAAAGATTTGGATAGTATCGAGAAGGATGGGTTTTAAGCCCAAAAATAAATAAACTACTTATGAGAACATCTTACCTAGTTGACTAGAGATCTCAAAATCTAGGTTCATAGGGAAAAATGAATCATAAGAGTAGCTAATTATCATGCACTAATTTATTTTTCATCCCTATGGTGCAAGTAAATGAATCTCATAACGAGAAAAAAAAAAAGGTTAAGTTTCTTTAGAGGAAACTTTTAATATGATCTATAGTTCTTATTAAATGGGATGTTTGGGTTATGAGAGCATCCTTGATAGACATATATATATGAGTGAGGAAGTGGGGTCGCTTCCTATAAGAATAGGCTAATTCGTAGTACACTAATAGAAATCGAGATTAAGCACAAGGCGAGTTAATTTGCGGCTCGATAATTGTCATAGAGTACCTAAATATAATATATATGATACAATATTTGTTTCACTTAAAAAGCTTTAGTTTAAGACAATGTTCACTATTAGCTTGAGAAAAATGTTGTTGAAACACTAATCAAGTGTTCAAATCATTGACACCTTATTATGCATTATATTTGTTTACTTACCCAAAATTATATGGCTAATATTTTATTAAAAATAAGTAGGGGATTGTTGGGTTATTTTTAAATAAAATAGCTTTTAATAAGATATATTAAAAAAAGGATTATAAGTTACTATTTTGAAACAGTAATGTGTATTGTTTCAACAATCACAAAATACCATTTTATTCCATTAACAATTGAATGGTACTTTTAAAAGAAAGGCTACAATAGTTTCATTTTTTTTATTCAATTAACAAATGGCTTTTTGCATTCATTCTCAATGTTTTTTTTTTTTTTTACCATTTAATTTGTTAATTAATTCAATTGTCTAACGAATAATTTTTACACTATATAAATGGGCTCTTGTCATTTGATGAAAACCACAACTATAACAGTAACAATTTCTTACCTTCTGGAGAGTGAAAAAATAGCAATCATTTTTCTTTAATTGCTTAGAAAGAAAAACGTTTCTTTCAATTTTACTGCTTTTGTTTCCTATTAAAAGCTATATTAATTTTTGTTAATTTTTCTTTCGATAAGAGGAGTGCTAATTTATAATTAAGTTTCAAGTCTTACAAGTAATACAAACTTGTTAGGATACGATAAGGTGACTAAGCTTGTTGTATCTACGAGATGGCGTGCAATAAATCCTTGCTTCATTGCATCGGATAAATTTTTATGCGCAACGCGTATCGTCTCAAAAAGCAATCTTGTTGTGCTTCAAGACAATCATCTATAAAATTCTAGTAAAATTGCTTTGGTGTTTTTTCCATTCAAGAGTTTTAGATAATATTTTTCTATTTTTCCAACATAAACTATGCAGCTTCCTCTCATTAGGCTTGAGAGAAATCATAAGATTTCCAGATTTTTAAGTTGCTCTCATATTTTTCTTTAACTTTATTTTTCTCAAATAATCTTTAGCATATCTTTTGTCCTTTTGAACGTATAAGAGCTTCAAGAATTACAAATACTTGAAAGGGGTACTTATTTATCAACTTTGTGCGAAAAGAATAGAATCTTTGTTGTGATCAAATTTTAGTGTAATGTTTGTATATTCTCCTAGAATCTAAATACTATCTACCTCTAAAATCTGATAAGGAAAGGCTGGATAGATGTCATCAAAGAAAAGAAAAGAAAAGAGTAGAATCTTACTTTTGGTTACAATCTGCCATTCATAGAGACTATTGTTGCGTCCAGGTTCACTCTGTATGGCTAGCTTCTGTATAAAACAGTTCCTATAAGTAGCGTGGCTGCTAATATTACTGAGCATATAAACAACAAGGATTAGTAATTTAGTATAGGTGCAATGGTGCATAGATCAAGTGTCCCCTAGAGTTCCCTTGAACACTTCACTAGGACTCTTCCGACCCGAAGAGTATACATTGTAATTCCCACTGAAGTGTTTGGGGGAACTCCTGGTGTCATTTGATGTTAATAATTAGTTCATGACAACCTCAGCAAACAAGAAATTCTGTCATCAGGTCATCATGGTGAATTCTCTTCTTCCTATTTTCCTTGTTATCCAATCTCCTTTCCTATTTAGCTAGCTTGTGGATATGTTAACTAAAAAAATTGATAGATTTTAATATGCAACATATGCATTAAGCACCATCCATCACAGAGACTGCTAAGAGAACTTAAGCAAGCAGAATTTATATGCTTAAAACCCAAGAAATGGGGAACTGTTCAGAGTTACTTGTACGCATGTCTGTGAATTGTGAATTCTTCCTTTAACAGCACTGACATGCTAGTAATTATTGATTTTATTCAATTTTGTTCTTCCTTTTCCCTAAACTGAGTTGTACCGTTGCATGTTTTTAACTTGTGTTTTCTTCAAACACAAGCACGTGTTGGCCATGTTTGTTCTTGCCTTTAGATTTAGATTATAGTCAGATAAATTAAATATATATCCTTCAGTTTCTTTATACTCAAATTCCTGGAGTTTGCTTCCAAAATCAGGGTCGTTGTAGAAGAATAGAAGTATTTGGAGCACGGATATCCCAAATGATTGTGTAGTATTAGGAATGGAAAGAATGATTTTCTTTTTGAAAGAATGCTTCCAAATGATTGTGTAGAGAAAAAAAATTGTAAGTTTCAACCTTGACATAAATACAATAGAGATCTCTTCAAATTAAAAAAAAAAATAGTGAGATATACGTACAATGTTTCGGTCCCAATATAGATATGATAGAGATTCTTTCAAATAAAAAAAATATATCGGAATGTAAGTGTATATAGTGTTCTATGCTGAGGAGTATGAGAGAGTTTACGTACCTTTCTCTATTTTTTTTTTTTTAAAAAACATAATGCATTGCAATGATCTTTGTTACCCCTCATATACTCCGATCATCGTGAGTTTTTTCTTTTAAAAAAAAAATTGATTTATCAGAGGTTCATGGGCCTTTAATGTAAATAATAGATGATAGTCTTTTTTTATTATATAACCACTGAAGAAATTTAGAATTATTAAGACTTGAATATTGCTTCATTAGAAAAGCTAATCGAATAAGTAATTATAAGTTAAGTCTGCTTTAATGCAATCATCACGATTTGACTAGATAATCTGACATAAACAACCATCGAGTTGTTGTTTTTTGACATCCAATGTTTGAAAGAAACTTTTATAAAACCCTCTAGGTCCTTTGACTAAGAATCAGGCCTTCCTTCTAATGCTAAATTTTGTGATTTCATCTCAAATGGAGATTGGTATTGGCCTAGTGCTAGGTCAGATGAAATGCCCAGCAAACAACCTGCTATTTGTGGTGTTGTCTTTCCTTCAAGTAACGATGATGATTCTATCAATAGGAAACTCTCTCCTAATGGAGTCTTCAATTCCAGGAATTTGCAGGAGGAACTTGGAGTAAGGAATAGCAGAGATTGGTTTGAGCACGTTTGGGGCCAATCCATGTCCCTAGATATAGCAATAAATTCTCACAATTAGTGTTAATTAAGTTTCATTTTACACTTAGATTTTTTTATTTAAAATAATAAAATATATTAGATAGACTTATCCATGGCAAGGCACAAGTACTGTGCTAGTAAATAATTTAAAACATAATGGTGTTTTACTATAACGAAGCCCCATTTTAATAATTCAAAATGACATTGTTTTGGGTCTTTTTAACTTCAACCACTCGTCATTTTTCCAACAAAAAAAAAGTGATTTTTTGTCCATTTTTTACCCTTTGATTATTCAATTCATAACTTTACTCAAAACGATCCCTTAATTAAATATGTATTGCAAATAGGTTCCTATACTTTTTTATGGCTGGGCTATGCTTCCTGCCCAACCGCATGAGTTTGGTTGGCTCTAAGCCCATACGGATGGATTGGTGTTAACCCAGCTGAACCTTTTTTTTTTTATATATACTTATTTATTTATTTATTTATTACTTACTCAAAATATTTTTTTATAATTAATATTTATTTTTTATAGACTCATTAAATAAATTAAACACTCTTGTAATATAAATTAATTTTTTTAAAAAATAAAAAATTAATTACAAGTTTTTATTGATCAAAATAAAAATATTTCTAGGATATATTTAAATTGCAGATTAGCGTCAAAAATTAATGACAAATGCAAAGTTTAGAAACTGAATTGTGATGGAATGTTAGTGACGAATAGAGTTCCATCGTTAAATAGAGCAAGAAAAATACAAGCTTAATCTAGCAATGGAATGTGACGGATTTGCGAGGAAACTTAGGGACGGAATAGCAATTTTGTCGCTAATTCCCATTGTTATGTCAACAACGGTTGCTTTCCAAAGCAAATCCTTAGGTTTCGTCACTGCTTTCCCCCATTTTT